AACCTAGCACAGACGTGAAAAGAAGAGCAAAACATGGCATGGCCCGCGATGCAAGAAGTTGCTCGAGTGCGGATAAGCATGCAGTGCTGTATGCAGTGCTGTATGCAGTGCTGTATAGTGAAGCCACATGTGATAGTAGCAAACAGCAATCACGAGCCCATGCCACGGCTCAGCGCGACCCGTTGGATCACTATTCATCCTCCTGCTTGGTTACAGGCGGCTTCGCTGCCTTCTTGGGCTTCGGAGCATAGTGGCTCCTGGGCAGCAAGTATTGTTTGAAGACATAAGCACAACACATGTCGTCACAATCCATGTGCGAATGTATGATGCTGGCCAGTTGCTTTAAGGAGGCAATCTGGTTGCCAAAAGTCGCAATCCTTAATTTGTTGTGTCTGTAATCGCAACTATTTGTGTGCAACAGTTGTGTCATAAATACTTCGCATGTACCGAACTGAGCATACGGCGCATCACGAATCTGCTTCGTGACAGCAACGAAATCCCCCGGCTTCCTGAGTCAGCGAGGTGTTACGAACATATAGGGCTTGAGGCGATTGTACAAACCTTTATTTTAAAGTGTTTCCAAGTCTCGTCTCTGCCAGTTCCAGATTGCAGATCGTCTTGTAGAGGTCATTGAGCTCACCTGGGAAGGGTAAATATATGTGCACGATGAATACCAAGCAGGCTCGTCTTCTATTGACACACCCATGCACACACAGACACACACACACATCATGCATAAACATGACTTGAACTTGCAGCCAATTGCACCCAACGTCTTTTCACAAGTTGTCAAATCTTCCCTTGGTTTGAAACATGACAACATTCAAGACAAGCAAGCTCAAGAGCAGGTATACCAACAAGAACAAGACAATGTTGATACGTGCAATGTGACAAGAGGCTTGCATGTGGTGCATTTTTCCGCATCCAAGCGATCCTTGACTTCCTTCAACACGGTTCGTTTGTTCAAGAGGGCCTTTTTGTATTTCGCCACAGAGCCAGCCAGATCCTGCTCTCCTTCCACAATCAGCGGGAGGGCTGCTGCCTTTGCTGCTGTTCTGTTGCTTCCCTTTTTCCCTTGTGCAGCAGCTTTCGAATCAGGGACCGACTCTTCGTCGCTGATCTCGAAAGTGTCTCCACAACCGAGTTGAAACTGATCATTGAGGAAACCAGCTTCTTCCATAAGTTCTTCAAGTTCCCGTAGCTTTTCTTGGCCTTGCCTCGCAGTCTGAATGATTGTTTCAGACCATGCTAAATCATATCAAGAATAACAAAATACAACTTAAAAGCTGTTCTAGATTCGGCTGAGGTTCGTGATGGTATCGCTGACAAGCACGAGATATTTGTATTCGCCCGTATAGGGACAAGTCTTGTAAAGCTTCTTGGCCAAGCAATATTTTTTGGCGCCTTCAACTTTGTTCCTTCGCTGTGTTTTCTAGTGTCTGGGTTACAAACATCACAAGCTCCCCAATATATGGGTTCTGCAAGACTAATATACTATACTCCGAGTTTCTCCGGCCAGCCTTTGGCCTTCATATCTTCGACCGAGCACCACTCGAATCCTTGAGTGTTCCTTTTCCACTCTTTCGTCGATTGTCGAAGCTTGATCAATGCCTCCAGTCGGCCCTGCCATGGTATGTAACAGGCACGAGGAAGATGCAAGCATCACTATATACTTTGAGTGCATTATGGACAGCTACATAGATAGCTGCCTTGTTCACAGAATGGTCGTCTGCCGGAGTATAAACCTTTACCACGAAGTCGCGAAGGAGCCGTGCACGCTTTATCCCTCCTGCATATTTATGTTTCGCACGTTTCAAGCATAAGCAAGACCAAGCAGTACACTTCAAGCTGATGACATGCCACAAACAACAAGCAAGTGCTCTCCCTCTTCCCATGCTTTGTTGATCTCGTCGAGGGTGCCCTTTTTGCTCTTCACCAAGCGGTTGAGGAAGTGCCATTCGGTTGGATGGGTGGTGCTGTTGTATGCTTGCTCACTTGCTTTCCTGTACACAGACAACTATCATGAACTGTCAAGCAAAGCACAAGCAGACAAGAACACATGCAGCACTGTAATGCAAGCGAGTCACACACCAACGGCCGGGGCTGGGCTTCCTGGTCCTTTGGGCGTGGGCGGGGTCACCTTCGTACTGACCTTCGGCGTCGGCGGCAAGGTTGCTCTCACCGTCGGCATCGCCTTCGTCATCACAGGACCCTCCTTCTGTCGCTTTGCCG